CATAGGACCTTTTAAGAGGCGAACGGATGCCAATTCTCGAGTGATTATTGCAGATCTCACACGTGCCAATCACAATTCTCCCATTTTCAGAAGTCGCTTGGTAATGAACGTTTAAAAACATGCAAAGTGGGGATAATGACACACATCATTTCCCAGCTTAATCTTCATCAGGCTCCTCCTCTTCTCTATGATTTCCCCTTTTTCTACACTCCCAGGCATCGTCCTCTCAATTGGAAAAAGGACCCTAAGGCCACTGGAGCACCAAGCCCCTGTTTCTTCAAGGGATGGATAATTGACTCCCTTCGGTTGGTAATTTATCGCTTGCATATGCAGCTAATACATCAGCAGGCAAAACAGTGCTGACCTCCCAACCTTGTCCAACAACTCTACCACTGCTACCAAAACAAGCACACATGCCCACACACACACACACACACACATGCACTTTCGGCCCACACCCCCCTCAATAAAGAGCCAGGAGCCTAGATGTGAATTGGAGAGGGACACAACTGACAGGGGAAAGGAAATAAAATGATAGATGGGGTGCATTGTGGCATTATGAATGAATTATGCTGGCCAAATACCTTGAGCAGAGCAGTGTGTCAGCCTGTGACTATACTAATCTTAGAGGAAATATGACTGTCTCTATATTAAAGAGTGTGGTGCAGGGTGAGCTGGTGATTAGTTGAGCAATCAGTCCATTACGAAGACATAACTTAGATGGCATTATTCAGTGGCCACATTTATCAGTCTCACACTGTATCATACTCAGCAGTTGGCTTGTTGTTTTTGCTGTTTCTATCAGTGGGTATCAGTATTGTCTGTCACCTTCTGTACATTCACTGTGTTTGACAAGGATTCATCGCCATCTTCACTCGAGCTCCATCTACCTCCCGAATCATCATGACGACAACACGATGTAAAACACATTATTATGAACACTTAAGTAAATTTAAACTTGATCTGACACATATGTCTGTTCACTATATTCTTTAAAAACCCAGGAGAAGCAATTAAGCATCTCTGTAACCAATGGGTCTGAATAAATGTGGTAATACAATAAATGGTATTATTAATGAAAATGAAAAGGAAACCTGAAAAATAGTATTGAAATATCTCCTCCGTTTTATCAAACTATAGCACAGGTCATTTCAAATCAAATGTCACTGTACTCTTTTGTTTTATCACTTCAACGGGGATTTTAATTACAGCTATAGCTGTAATAAAAGTTCAGGCTAAAATACACTGATGAAGAAAGAAAATGGGTTATTTACACAGATATACTTGACTACAATAAAAAATTACAGTTGTTTGTTGTCAGATGCTTTGATTCAAATTTTAAGGTGCTTTAACATCTGAATGACTAAAACAAATATGTGACCCTGGACCACAAAACACTTAAGTCGCTTGGGTATATTTTAGCAATAGCCAAAAAAACACTGTATGGGTCAAAATTATCTATTTTTCTTTTATGCCAAAGATCATTAGGATATTAAGTAAAGATCATGTTCAAGATATTTTGTACATTTCTTACCGTACATATATCAAAACTTAATTTTTGATTAGTAATATGCATTGCTAAGAACTTCATTTGGACAACTTTAAAGGCGATTTTCTCAGTATTTTGATTTTTTTGCACCCTCAGATTCCAGATTTTCAAATAGTTGTATCTCGGCCAAATATTGTCCAATCCTAACAAACCATACATGTGGTCCAGGGTCACATATAAACTCTACTCTGACTGCTTTCAAGACGGGACCTACAAACTATAGTGTGTGTATAAATAATTACAAATTATGTCAGCAATGCTATTAGAAATACATTTGATTTCATTTCTGAAATGCAATTGTAATTAGAGTAAATAATAGCATGTAAATATAATAACTCATTTCTAAATACGGTTCATAGCTGTATACTCTGTTAAGATAAATATTACATAGAAAACCCCTTCACATGAGACATTATTTGTATAAAAATAAAATACAAAATCATGCCTGGCAAAGTGCACACATTATAAATTAGGCTACTAGTTTATTAATTATTGGTTATATTAGTTATGTTATATTAGTTATATTAATTATAGATATAGTTACACAAATTATTAGATAATTTGATCAATTTGGTAGCGCAATATCTTCTTTCTTTTTTTTTTTTGGCATACAGTATTACTCAATTCATGAGATTTCATGTCTGATGTCGCATCAATGTTTATTAATCATGCTGGGCAACCTGAATTAAATTCATTCAGACAAAATTAATTCAGTCAGACTAAAATGCATGTTAAAGGCCTCCATAGCTCCCGATTCTCTTCATTCCAGCGTGCTCTGACAATGCTCAAGCGTTATCTATTCATTTGGTTAGGTTTTGACGCCATCTGCTGTTAAATTGTAAAATCGCAGGGGTCAACCAGATATTCTCAGCAGTTCTCTGCAATTGTTTTATTGAAAAAACACACACAACTTCACTAAAAACCATAGTTGTGTGTGTTGTTTTTTTTTTTAACACTTCAAAGTTGGAATGATATTTTATTTAGCCTTAAAAAGGTTGTGAGGAGAGGCAGTGAAAGTCTCATTTAGATCTGGTGATTTTGTTCATACGTTCTTTGTTTAGCTCACATTTTAAATAAAATGGTCACCTGTAGTGGGAAATCTACTCACCCTCAAACAAAAGTTGATGTACTTCACATATTTACAATATTTTGAGGGAACTTGCATGTATACGTTTTTAGGTGTTAGCTTATGTTTATGTTTTAAAATGTTTATGTATGAAATTCATTTTAATTTAGGTTTTATTACCTTTTTCATAATCTTTCTGTCTATAAATGTCAAGTCAAGTCACCTTTATTTGTATAGCGCTTTATACAATACTGGTTGTGTCAAAGCAGCTTTACAGTGTCAAACAGGAAAATTGTTTGTCAATAATGCAAGAAGACAATAACAGAGTCATTTTTCCAGCTAAAGCCAGTTCATTGACGATTCAGTGTAAATGTTTGTATCTCAGGGTATACGTTGCCCTTATCGAGATTTTTTTCACATACAGACTCTGTGGTCTATAGTCTTACTTTGTGGGCTGTTTTAGAAAATCAGTTCAATACTTAATAATCTTAAATGAAAATGTATAATTAATAATTTATTGATTAATCATTTGGTTAGCTATATTTCATTTAGTTTAAGGTCAACAATACATGGATTTTTCCAGGCAGTTTGTGTCAACACTTTCTATAGTAGAAGGAAGGTACAGTGTCTGGCAGTAAGATTTCACAACAAAAAGACTTTACTTGATAAAAAAGCATGAGCCACAAGTATTGAGCAAAGGCTGTGAATACTTATGGACATGTTTTTTTATTATTTTTAAATAAATTTGGAGAGATTTCAAACAAACTTCTTTCACGTTGTTATTATGGGGTATTGTTTGTAGAATTTTGAGGAAAATAATGAATTGAATCCATTTTGGAATAAGGCTGTAACATAACAAAATGTGGAAAAAGTGAAGCGCTGTGAATACTTTCCGGATGCACTGTATCAACCAGACGTCAGAAGGCATGAAGTAGATTGTGTACAACAGGTTTATCAGCAAAGTTTTGATCATGTTGATAATTAATAGGCTCTAGAAGTTTGCGCATCAAATAAGATACAGCAGGTTAAGATATTCATAAATATACATTATGCTTATTGTTTAACAGAATTTTAAGTTATGAGTGAATAAAATGTTTCAAAATAGTTTAAAATAAATGTATACCCCAAAAGGGACAACGTATTCTGGGGGATACAAAATAAAAATAAAAAATAAAAGTCACATTTAAAAAAATTTTTTAAAAAGCATCATGAAATTGTATTATTTGTGCCCTAATAAGATGGAAAATGGCAATAAATAATTTTTCTGATGTCTCTTTATGATCTTGCCCTTTTTAGGGATATAGGCCCGTTGACTGCCCAGCAAACAAACAGTACAAAATATTACTAACATTATTGTGTTACTTTCATAAAATTTCAAACTTCACTGATATAATTTATCATGAATTAAATGTACCTCAGAAAGTCCTGTCCTACTGGTCTGGAATCATGTGGTCTGTTGACACACTTCACTTTATGATTTGGTCTTTATTGCGCCTCAATATTTTATGTACTTGATTGTTCTATACAAACAAAAACATATCAGGTTTATCTTTTCAAATCAGAAGATTTGGTAGGAGATTTTGGCAAGACTGTTGTATACAGGGCTCGAAATTAACTTTTTTACTTTGTAGCACTGGTGCTCCCAACTTCAAAAAATACTCTGATCGTTTTTAGAGATATGAAAACAGGTCGCACGACAACAATTATATGCACTCGCAGAAATGCTCCCACATATATTTTGAGGTCGCACAGATCAAATTTCGGGAGCATATGCGACCAAAATGGTCGCAATGTCGAGCCTTGGTTGTATACCTTAATTAGAAGCACTAAAGTAAATACTGGAGCAATGTGTTAATTTGTCCTCAGGGTGTCACTGTTGAGTTAGTGATGACAGCAAACAGAAATTGTAGCAAAGGGCTTAAAGCACAGAAAACAGCGGTTTGCATCATGTCATTACCTACAGAAAACCTCAGAAATGTCCATACTGATGATCCACTAACACGATTTCGCTTGTGTGTTTCAAATGTTTTTTTAATAAGATGTGAAGGGTGTTTATGAATTTATGTATAATTGTATTATTTATTTTACATGTTACATAATTATTGTGGTTGAATATCAGTTGGGTAAATCCCCTGCTTCCCTTTGCTCTGACATGTCACTGCCAAGTTTGCCAGCAAGGTTAAAAACAACGTCACCCAACGTGACTGGCTACGCCCTGCCCCTGCCAACTTAGACGGACGAATGAGAATGGCCGACTTTTGCTAGTACAGAGTGATAGCCAATCAAAATGTTTTTACTTATCTTGATTTGCATGTGTCCAATAAGGATTATCGTGCAGATATTGCTCTCTTTACAGCTCTCGGGGAAATTAAATCTAATGTGACTCCTCGTAACGTCAGATTTACCCGGTGACAGTCAGAGAAAGAAGACCTACGAGAACACTTGTGGATTTACTCTTGTTTTCAAAGGAAAGTTATTCAAGTCCGTGCTGGATTTTACGTGCAACATGACATTTGAGGAACTTAATGGAGATTACTCTGTTGAAAGGTAAATATGCAAATATGCTTTTATTCGGCAATTAAGCCATATAACATTATTATAGTCATTTTACCAATAAGTGAATAATAATGTGCGAATCCGGAAAAAAACATAGTGATTTTTGAAATATATAGTAATATTTCTGTTTATTGTGGAACAAATGAAACAAAGACATAGCAAACACATACCGGGTAAACTGTCGGCTGCACAACATCGGCTCACGAGACCTTTTATCGGTCTAAGGTCTATAAAGTTTTTTGTAAAATAAGTTTTTCTTATATTTTATAGGCTTATATAAGACGAACGTAGACAAATTACTCACTCAAACACTTATATACTTAAAACATGAATTACTGTAATAGTTTTCAACCGCCGCAGTTTAAATCTGTGCACGAGCCGTTGCCATCCAAAAACGTTCAATGTTCTGGACTTTATTAATGTTTTATTACTTGATTATTCATCCAAATTGTGTTTTTTACAGGATGGATTCTGTGATTAAAGCTCTGGAGGAGGTCCTGCGCTCCGCGTTACCGCAGGGATGTATTACAGTCGGGGTCTACGAGGCTGCAAAGTCACTCAATATGTAAGTTTACTTTAGAGGCTTCCAGTGTTATTGGTTTTCAGTGTAATTGCAACAGGTGCAGTGAAACGAACAAAAATCTCAACTCTTCTATTTAGGGACCCTGATAACGTGGTGCTGTGCATCCTGGCCACGGACGACGATGATGTGAAGGATGTGGCGCTTCAGATTCACTTCACTCTCATTCAGGCTTTCTGCTGCGAGAACGACATCAACATTCTGCGCGTGAACAACACGCGTCGCCTCGCGCACATCCTCGGGGGCGCGGGCATACACGGCAGCGAGCAGATGGATCTGCACTGCACCCTGGTCACTGTAAGTGTTAACAATTAATTCTAACTGTGATTAGAATCTAAATATGAATCCAAAGCTAAAATAGGCCAGTAACCAGCACGTGAGCCATGTCTTTTAGTAAGTTGTCAGGACATGTCCCGGTGTACCTGCCAGTGCATGACACCCACATGCACATCCTGCTCTGTTCTTATTCTTATGCAAATAGGAGTTTCTTCTCTTAATGTTCCATGCTTCTATTTGCATATAATTTGCTCCATTGGAATCAAATGAACAGGTGCTTCAGTATTCATCATTCTTATAATCTTTCAAAAGATTTTATATACTCCATAAGATGCATTCAGTAAGATTTGCAAACTCTCAAAATCCCTTCGGACATTTGAATTCATGGCCATATACTGCAGTTTGACTTCACTTTTATTCATACTCGCGTAGTGACCATAGGTCCTCTTTTTCCTGGACATGTCCTGGCTGGGATTTCTAAATAGTTAGATTTAGAAATCCCGGCCAGGGCATGTGCAGGAAAAAGAGGACGTTATTTATGGTTTGGGAAATCAAGGTGTCAGACATATTAATGGCCAATAGTGATATGCAGAGATCAGGGTGATGATGGCTGATAAAATGTTGATATATTCAAAATTCACAAAAAATATTTAAAATCATATGTGTGCCTTCCAAAGACAAGGCTGACTGTAAAGGACAATGCTTAATGCTTTGAAGTTACTCAGTTTTAGCAAACACAAACAGAATGTAATCCCATCTCTTCTTCTGATGTTCACAGGTTCCACATGCATCCACATGGAAGAACCCAGCTATGGGAAAAGTGAACCGCTTCTGCAGAGAGAGTCGCTGTATGGATCAGTGGGTGCCCATTATTAACCTTCCAGAACGATGAGGACAGCTAAAGACAAGGGAAAACATGGATAAAAATATCTAGTAAAAATTATGAAAGCTAAAAAAGGTGATCACAAAAAGGACTGATAGTCCAGACTGGAGGAACTAGGGACTAAGCTACAGAATAAACTGGAGGAGGAGCACCCTTTTGCAATCTGAGATGATTCAGCAGTTTTTGGCTTTGCTTGTGGGACTTTTTGAGGACGTCACATGAAGCTAATTGTGAATGGAAGTGAGCACCTGAGTATCTTGTGAGATAGTTTATTGGTGGGGTGTCATAAAGCACTTCAGTTAATTACAGGATGAAATATTTCTCAGGCAACACAATATCAGAGGTGATATTTTTTAAAAGAGGCTGCCCTGTTCTTTGTATTTTTTGCTATCATTTTTGAATAGTATACTATTAGCACTTATTAATGTTGGAAAATATATTATTTTAAAGGGACGTGCTATCACAGTATCCTGTAAGAACTTTTTTTTTTTTTTTTTTTTACATAAGTTAATTGTTCTTTTGTGGTCTTTAAATTATTTATATTTAATTTAAAGAAGTATTTATGTAAAACATTTTATACTATTATATTCAAATGCTAAATGAATTTTGTGTTGTAATAAAAGTATTTTTGAACACTACATGGTAGTCATGCGGGTTATTCTGTTAGAGGTTTCTGGAAAAGCAGAGTGGACTAGTAGAATTAACCTGACAACACCATACACCTCTCAGATCAGCAGGGTCACGCTGGACTCAGTGGCCTTCGTGACTCCCTATTACAGACCAACAAAAGCCATCCAAGCCTTTCTTTTGTCCTGCTTTAGTTAGCGTAACCATTGCATCTATTCATCAGATTCCTTTTTCTGCTGAAATGAATTGCTCAGGTTCAGTTTAATGTATGCTTGCTTGCGTCAGTCAAACTTGCTGTCGTAAATCAAGTTGCTCTTAATTGTGCTATGTTTGACAAACTGATACCATGTAGGTTAAAAGTCAATGCGTAGCAAGAATGTGTAACCCATTATACAAGCCCAGCTGGAGAACGGAAGTGTCTAGGGACATGTCTGGAAGTGTTCAGAAAGTGCGGCTGCGATCACATGACTGGCACATATTGGGTCAGGTTTCCAGATACCACATACAAGTAAATCAGTTGTGTAATCCACCACTTCCCTATACAAAGGTGATGAAGCAAGGTTTGAATGTTGTTAGGCTGATGCAAGGCAGGTAAACACCAGTCACATGAACAAGAATAAAACGAGGTACTTTGTCAGGAAAACAAAATGCATCTCCCAAAGTCAAGCTAAATGCAAAACATGGCAGTTAGGGGTTACTTAAAATGTAGCTTAGCTGTTTGTGTAGATGAACCATAAGTAATCCTGATCAAAATTCAGCTAAGCGCTCAATTTTGTAGGTGATAACTGCTCTGTGTAGGCAGTTTTCTGACGTCTTTAAAAAGATTATTTTTAGACAGCAGGTACAACAAGGACCAGGTGATATAACTGCTGTTTTGTCACAACTTACATCACAGTGCACCATTCCTAGAGCTCAGAGTAACATACAGCCCACGGCACATTAATTATCCTTTAATAACAATCGTTTCTGTCACATCTTTAATGGCTTAGAAGAATTTTAAACTTCATCTACTACTTTTTACACTACTGTTCAAAAGTTGTTGCTATTGTTGTTGTTTTTTAAATAACTTAATTCTTTCATTCAGCAAGAATGCATTAAATTGATCATAAATGACAGTAAAGACATTTACGCATCATTGCCATCACAGCAATAAATTACAATTTAAAATATATTCAAATAAATAAAAAAAAACTATTTTAAATTGTTGAAATACTTCGCAAAATTACGGTTTACTGTATTTAAAAAAAAATAAATACAGCCTTGGTGAGCATAAGAAACTTCTTTCAAAATATAAAAAAATAAATAAAAATAATCTTATTAACCCCAAACTTTTGATCAGTAGTTTAATTGGTTTCTATGTAACACCTAAACCTTGGGGTAAAAACATTGTTTTGATTCCTTTGTGTGTAATAAAGGGATAATTCACCCAAAAATGAAATATCTGTCATCATTTACTTGCCTTCGTATTATTACAAACCCACATGACTCTATTTCTTCTGTGGAACACAAATAGAGATATTTTGCAGAATGTCCAAGTTGCACTTTTACCTATGTAAAAGCTGATATTTTTATTATTATTATTATTATATGACAATTTTTCATATGATACACTAATACAGTACAAGCTATTTGACGTTAGACTTCGCAAGAACACATACATATGCGATGCACATATGCGATTATTGTTTCACAATTTTAATAAAATCTTTCTTTCAAGGTACAGTACACGTTATGAAGACTTGCAAAAATACAGAAATTAGAACAGAAAAAAAAAAACACCAAAAAGAACAAAAGGAAACTTGTTTCTTCACAGAGATACTGAGGTCACAGGAATTTGGTTGTGAACCTCAAATACTGCATAACTTCTCTAAAGTCTCCAAAATAAAACAGATGTTGCAGCATCAATATATGGAAGCTTGGCCCATTAAAGGTGTGAATGTCTCACGACTGCCCTTTTTGGGAAAAATCCATTCAATTCATAGAAAAGATCAAAGAACAGTGGTCTTTGTTTAACAAATGTGCTTGACACAGGAAAGAGATATTTAAATCAGAAGGAAAAGGCACTTTAAATCTAAACAAAACATTAAGTGAGATTTAATCAGGTAATGTAATTGCAAGCATATCATAATGTGATGTGCTACGTCCCTATTTCAAGCACAAAGTGTAACTAAGGCATCATTCAGTGGAAAAAGGAACTTAAGACTGTTTTAAAACTTCTAAACAGCTTGGATCGGATAGGATCAGATAGGATCATTTCCCGGAATGACTTCAGTTTGGCCCAAACAACCAAACAGTAGACAAGTGATGCTGGTAAAGATGAGATGCAATGCTAATCATTACCAAAATGTCAATTAATTAGTACTGATTGGAGTTTATTTACAGTAATAAATACTGTAAAAGCTAAATACAGTTAAGACATGGCACAAAGTTATACTAAGGAGCTAGAGTTGGACTTAAGGCAAAGTTGAGTAGAAGTAATTAAATAAGATTAGTGCTTGTTACACTACAATATAATGCA